AAATAAAATACCCAGAAGAATAAAAAATAAATAAATACTCTTTAACCAAAGAGGTAAATGACCTGTATTCTGAAAACTATAAAACACTGATGAAAGAAACTGAAGATAACACAAAGAAGTTGAAAAACATTCCATGCTCATGGATTGGAAGAACAAATATTGTTAAATTCGTCAATACTACACAAAGCAATCTACAGATTTAATGTAATCCCTATCAAAATATCAACAGTGTTTTTCACAGAACTAGAACAAATAATCCTGAAATTTATATGGAATCACAAAAGACCTCAAATAACAAAAGCGTTCTTGAAAAAGAACAAAACTGGAGGTATCACTATCCTAGATTTCAAGATATACTATAAAACTATAATAAGCCAAAACAGTATGATACTGGCACAAATAAAGACGCATAAATCAATGAAACAGAACAGAGAGCCCAAAAATAAACCCATGATTATGTGGTCAATTAATTTACAAAAGAGGAAGCAAGAATATGCAATGGGAACAAAGAGTTTCTTCAAGATATGGTGCTGGGTAAATTGGACAGCAACATGCAGAGGAATAAAACTGGACCACTTTCTTACACTATATACAGAAATAATCTAAAAATATATTAAAGACCTAAATGTGAAACTGGAAACCACAAAAAAGCCTAGAAGAGAGCACAGGGAATAATCTTCTTTGACATCACCTGTAGCAACATTTTTCAAGATATGTCTCCCAAAGCAAGGGGAAAAAAAGCAAAAATAAAAGGCAATCTACTGAATGGGAGAAGATATTTGCAAATGATATAGTGGATAAAGGGTTAGTATCCAAAATATATAAAGAGCTTACTCAACTCAACACCCCCCAAAAATCATCCAAATGAAAAACTGGCAGAGGACATGAACAGACATTTCTCCAAAGACATACAGATGGCTAACAGATACTTGAACAGATGCTCAAGTAATCAGCAGAGAAATGCAAATTGTCTCACCTGTCAGAATGGCTAAAATCAACAACACAAGGAACAGATGTTGGTGAGGATGTGGAGAAAAAAGTCCTCTTGGACTCATGGTGAGAATGCATACTGAAGCAGCCACAGTAGAAAACAGTACAGAGATTTCTCAAAAAATTAAAAATAGAATTACCATGGGATCAGAAAATTCCACTACTGGATATTTACCCAAAGAATATGAAAACACTTATCCAAAAAGACATATGCCACCCCCATTTTATGCAGCATTATTTACAATAGCCAAATTATGAAAGCAACCCAAGTATCCACTGATAGATGAATGGATAAAGAAGATGTGGTGTATATCTATAATGGAGTGCTATTTAGCCATAAAAAAGAAAAAAATCTTGCATTTCCAACAACATGGATGGATCTAGAGAGTATAATGTTAAGCAAAATAAGTCAGTTGGAGAAAGACAAATACCAGAGATTTCACTTAAATGTCAAATCTAAGAAATGAAGCAAATGAACAAAGAAAAAGAGAAGACAAACAAAAACAGACTCTTACACATAGAAAACAAACTGGTGGTTACCTGAGGGGAGGTTGATGTGGTGATGGGTGAAACAGATGAAGAGGATTGAGAGTACTCTTATTGTGATGAGCACTAAGTAAGGTTCAGAATTGTTGAATCACAATATTGTACACTTGAAACTAATATAACATGGTATGTTAATTATACTAGAATTAAAAAAACAAAATCAAATTTAAAAATAACAGACATATAAACAAAATTTTTAAAAATATAGACATATAAATAGGAGGAACTTGACGGAGGACCAAGGGGGAGAAGAAGGGCGGAAATGGTGGGGGAAAGGGAGAGAGGCAAACCATGAGAGACTCTTGAATGCTGACAAAAACTGAGGACTGATGGATGTGGGGGGGAGGGGGGATGGGCATGAAGGAGGGCACTTTGGGGATGAGCACTGAGTGTTATGTAGAAACTAATTTGACAATAAACTATTTGTAAAAAAAAAAAAAAAAAAAAAAATATTTTGGAAAAAGCCAGAATCCAAAGTGTAGTAATGTTTCTAAATTTTGTTCCAAACATAACTATGTTGGAATCTTCTGTGTCTCACTATAATAAACTCAGCATAGCTGGAATATACATTTTTGTTGAAATAAAATAAACAAAAAGCATTGTATATTGATAAAGATGATAAAACTAGAATATGCTAAAAAAATCAAATACTCTAAATATCAATGAGTTTTACTATAAGCTTCCAAAAAGAACTTCTAATGAAACAGTCAAAAGAACACAAAAAATTATAGGAACAAGGCCCTAGACAGAGTAGCACTCTCAGGACACAGAGGAGACAGCTCATTCCATAGCGAGATTCTAAACTAATACTTTAATATGTCTGACTGTGAAAAACAAAGTAGGAAAGGACAATAAAGGGTGTGACAGGGAGTAGTTTCCAATTTTAGATATGGAACCCAGGGAAAGACTCTTGAGAAGGTGACAGCTGAGTAAATGCCCAGAGAAGATAAGAAAACTGCAGACCATGCAGACACAGGGAGGGGTGTCCAGCACAGGCAGTGGCAGGAACACCGGCCCCAGGAGGAGAGCTGCATGGAATCTGAGGACCAGGGTGTAGGGTGCCTACATGGAAATGGGGAGGGAGACAGAGCAGTGGGAGATAAGGCCCCAGAGCTCGGGCTGGGTTTGTGTATGAGGTGAGCAGGCACTGTAGAGCCAAAAAACGGTGTGAGAACTTGCATATTCATAGCTTTGCTCCTTCAGTCATCTTGAAAGAGACAGAAGGAGGGCAAAGAAAGAAGTGGGGAGATGCTTTAAGAAACTGCGATAATCCAGAGGATGATGATTATCTGGAAAGGTCCTGACAGTAGAGGTGGCAAGAAGTCCTGGACTCTGCGTGCTTTTGGAAGTGGAGAAGACAGGAGGTTCCCAAGGCAGAAGGGAGATTAAGAGAAAAAGAAGAGTTGAGGATATGTGGAGGAACTGCAAGAAGGTGGTTTCTATTTTCTGACATGGGGAAGGGTAAGGAAGAAGAGGGAGGGCTAGGAGTGTGATTCCGCCAGGCCATCAGCACTCAAGTAGGGTCATGGCCACAGAAGTATGGCGCGCTGCTCTGATGATGGGGCGGAGAGTGGGCTGCAGAGAGTTTTAAGAGGCATCAGTCTCCAGCTAGTATTTAAAGCAAAAGGTAAAATGAAAGCACCAAAGGGGTGAGGTAGACAGGACAGAGAGGAGGTCTAGGACTGATCCCAGTAGCACTTTAGTATTGAGAAGCCAGCAGAAGGCATGAGTAGGAGCAAGAATGAGCACTGCACGAGAGGAAGACATGCTGGTCACACAAGGAGCCACGGGAGCAGCGTGGTGGTCACTGCTGATGCCAGAGGTGCTGTGGGGAGTGCTGGGCTGGAAGCCTGAATGAAACAAGCTGGGTAGAGAATGGGGGCAATGTGGCCACAGTGTGGGAAGAGGAAGTACAGTCAAGACTAATTAAAAAAATTTTTTAATACAGTAGAAAAATAATGCCATACAATTTTATGTTGAGAAATTTCAGAGAGAAGAAAATTAATGGCGTTATATTCTTGAGTAAGCTGCACAGAATGACAGTTGGCCATTACAACGTTATTAATAATATCCTCAAACTGAAGGCACCTAACTATCTGTCAATAGAAGACAGATGGATTTAACTGCATACATTAATACAATGGAATACTATCTAGCAATAAAAATGAACAAGTTGATAAATGCAACAGAATTGATGAATCTTGCAAGAATAATAGTAAGTGAAAGGAGTCAGGCAAAAGACAATGCATGTTGTATGATTACTGTATGGTTCTATTCATATCAAGTTCTCAGACATCTAAAGGAGTCTACTGCATCATAAACCAGGATCACAGTCACCTGGTATAGGAGGAAGAGGGGGAAATGAGAGGGGTATGGGGTGGTCCCAGGTATGCACTACATTCTAGTTCTTAGACTGGATAGGAATTACATAGTCACTACGTGATAATTTGAAGAAATGTATACTTATAATTTGTATATGAACCTGTAGGTGTCTCATACTGTTCAGTAAAAGATATATTTAAAAAAATGAAATGATATAAAATAAAATGTAGGTTACCCTATGATATCCACAGCCTGTTAGTGGAAGAATTTAAGTAAACACTGGGAATCATCTTGCTATGGACACAGTGAAAACAGATCCCTCCTCTGGGAAGGAAGTTTTACTTTAAGACCTGTAAGTGAACTTCAAAGTTAAGAATTTGACAGATGAATGAAACTTTTTAAAATGTGCCAATAAAATTAATAGCTCTTAAAACAAGGTTGCTCAAATGTTCTCTTAAAAATAATACGAGAGACTCTTGAATGCTGACAAAAACTGAGGACTGATGGATGTGGGGGGGAGGGGGGGATGGGCATGAAGGAGGGCACTTTGGGGATGAGCACTGAGTGTTATGTAAAAACTAATTTGACAATAAACTATTTGTAAAAAAAAAAAAAAAATAATACGATTTTCTTTTTGTTGCAGTAAAAAATAACACCCTATGGAGAAGAAAGCAAACTTGTATCCTTAAAAATAATTTCTGACCCATTAATAACCATTTATGCTCCTAAAGATTCAAACCTATTATGTCTTAATTTATGCTTTTTATCCCTTTCGAAGTGATTAGCAAAGAATATTAAATTAATGTGTATTATCATGCTGTCACATTAATGTCTCTTACTAAAACTGTATTTCTAAGAAAAAACAAAAACAGCCATATTTTTTAACATACCACTTAGACAGGATTCTTGATACGGTTGTTTCTCCCTCACCTCTGTCCTTAAATTATAAAAAAATTTCCTGCCAAAAGTACAAAAAAGCATTCAAAGACAGTTCAGTGCTTCTGTTACATAAAATCTCTGTCAAATCCTGGCTTCTTCTTCCTGGCATTTCTCCATAAGAAGGTGACAAAAATGTTCATGATAAAAATACATTTTGAGACAAACTCAGTTAGTGACTGCTACAATCAGTTCTTTCCACTCACCAGGGAGGATATATACGGATGATGTCTTGGGGACGCCCCCTGAGATGGCAAGCAGTCTCCTTGGTGAAGAGAACCTTCAGGCCAGTCCTGAGAGCCTCACCTTGAGAAGGGCTGTCGGCCTGCAGCCCTGCTAACTGCTCACACATAGCAACTTGGAAGGTGCATTCCTCATGCAGCTCTAGAATTTTCACAATTAATATGCCAGATTTTCTACCTAGAAGGTAAAGAAGAAAAAAATAAGCAAAATGAAGTCTAACAGACATAAGGTCCAACTGTGAATAAAATGTCATGAAAAAAAGGATCACATTAAGATAGCTTTAGGGGCACCTGGGTGGCTCAGTTAGTTAAGCCTCTGACTTCAGCTCAGGTCATGGTATCATGGTTTGTGAGTTTAAGCCCCACATTTGGCTCTGTGCTGACAGGTTGGAGCCTGAAGCCTGCTTCGGATTCTCTGTCTCCCTCTCTCTGCCCCTCCCCTGCACTCTCTCTTTCTCTCTCTCCTCAAAAATAAATAAACATTAAAAATTTAAAAAAAATAAGATAGCTTTCTCCACCTATAGAAAATGGTCTGTATACTTTGCAAAGTAGAGTACAGACAGTAACATAATCACTGTAACATCTTTTAATTAAAATTGTACTTTAAGCAACATAAAAGATAGTCTTCCATCATAAGAAACATTCTTGTATACACAGAAAACTTAGACCCATCATTTCACAGAGCATGGTTTTATACCAAATCTTGAACTCTTTTGATTAACTACAACAAAGGAAGTATGGCCACTTATTGATCCTTCTTCCTTATATGCTCCTTCTACCTCATTACCTGCTTTGACTCTCTACAGGACACTGCCTGGTTTCAACTGTTCTAATGATCATAAAGGTTAAAGGTGAGGACTTCTGGGGCACCTGGGTGTCTCAGTCAGTTAAGTGCCCGACTTCGGCTCGGGTCATGATCTCATGGTTCGTGGGTTTGAGCCCCACGTCCGGCTCTGTGCTGACAGCTAGCTCAGAGCCTGGAACCTGTTTTGGATTCTGTGTCCCCCTCTCTCTCTGACCCTCCCCTGCTCATGCTGTCTCTCTCTCAGAAATAAATAACACATTAAAAAAGAAAAAGGTGAGGACTTCTGAGGAATGTTGAATGTTAGGGCTTGAGATTTAAATAGATGGAGGGGCGCCTGGGTGCCTCAGTGCATTAAGCATCTGACTTTGGCTCACGTCATGACCTCGCAGTTTGTGGGTTCATGTCCTGAGTCTGGCTCTGTGCTGACAGCTCAGAGCCTGGAGCCTGCTTCGGATTCTGTGTCTCCCTCTCTCTGTATACCTCCCCCACTCATGCTCGGTCTTTCTCTCTCTCTCTCAAAAATAAATAAACATTAAAAAGATTTTTTAATGAGTGGAATTTGATCTGAGTTTAAGTACTGGCTCTCTGATTAATTAAGTTGGCCAAGTTAGATAACATTTCAACACCTCAGCTTTCCCATGTGTACCTCAAAGAATATTTTTAAGACTTAAATGAGAGAACTGAGGTCAACAGTGTGTGTAACCTAAAACCCAGATATGTCCCAGAAACTGTCACAGGCGCTAGGAGACCTAAACAAGGATGCATGTGTCAGGACTATTTATAAGAGCAGAAAATTGTACCCAACACAAATCAACAGGAGGAAGGGCAAACCATGCTGTGTCCATATAACAGAACAGCATACAGAACTTAGCCACAGTGGGCCAGACCTCTATGCATCAGCATGGAGAGAACTCATCAAGAGAGGGTAAACAAGATACGCAGAGTATGATATCCATAATGTTATAAATTCTTTACACAGAAAATAATAAATCATTATTGTGTATATATATGCAATAGAAGTATGTAAATATGACCAGCAGGATACATAGAAACACATACCTAAGGAAAGAGATAAATTTCACACTTCATATTTCTATTATTAAAAAATGTGAATCAAAAAAAGACCAAAGATTAAAATGTGTTATTAATTCCAGGTGGTGAGTACACTTATGTTATTCTATTACTCTGGTTTTTAATTTAAAAAAATTAAATGAAATAACAAAAGCTAAGTGTCTAGCATAGTACCCTGCTAATAATATAATAGATACTAATAATAATTTCTTTACCACTTTATCCAACTGGTTAATAGTGAATAAAAATTAATATTTAAATAACATCAAAGTGTTAGCTATATAATTTAATTTCATTTCCATTTCTTTTCCCTCATTTTTCTTCATTGTCCACTCATCCCTAATTTTCCATTCCTTCCCTTCTCTAAGTGCCAACAGCATGTGTTCACATATTAAGCAAGGCCACATCACTGCCCCAGAGCACTACCTTCAACTACTGTATCCTAAGGTATGTACCTATCTTGCTACTATTTCTTAAGGTAAGGAAGGAAACAGAATGGGGGAAGGATATGAACAAGCACAGTGTCAGGCTGGTACTAGTCACTTTGGGAGAGGGGAAGTGGAGTAATGAAAGCAAGTATTACAGAAAGGCAGTAACTAGGAAGGAAGCATTGAGCCTCCTCTACCACAATAGTTGTTTCTTTAGTAGAACATAGCTCATCCTCAGTTGGTGAGTAGGAAAACACGTCAGGATAACACAGAGGTCACTCTGGTGCACAAACCATTTTTTCCCATGCAGGCCAGCCAGAGCAATGGTTGGAAAATTAAGGTCTTCAGCAGCACAGGGAAATGACCTACATTTAGGGGCTGCATTAACCAAAGGAGTATTTTTGCACTTATTTTAAGAATTTTTAAAACTTGTACCTGCACTCAGAGCTCATCCCCCAAAACTGGACATGGTGTGTGGCTCCTCCCACATCAACCGGTTGCTGTTGGGAGCTCCAGGGCCCGTGAGATCAGATGGCCTGGCTCCGTGTGGCTGAGTGTCTGCCTCTGGCCGTGCTCAGTGGCCTGCCTGAGTGGCACAGGTTTTCTCTCTGGGCACTAATTACTGTCTCATGTGGCTCTAAAAGGGAAATAGATTTTCAGTAGTCTGCCAAGCCCTATAGTCCCTATAAACTTTTGACAGATTTTATAGTATATGTGCTGCCGAAGCGAGCACTTGACAGATTTTATAAAGGCAAAACACTGCAGACACATAAATAGTTATTACCCCAGAAATACTTACATATCTGAGATGAAACATATTGCTTCTAACTACACTCTCTTTGAAGATTTTTATGATAAGTCCTGGCAATATTCCTAAAACTATGATTTCTGCTGAAGATCTGGAGCACTAAATAACTTGTAAAATAAACACGTTCATGGTATTGACTATCACCACAGCCCATGCACTGCAGCATAGAATAAACATACTTTTGTTTAGAGAAGAGAGAGTGCTTGAGTGGGGGAGAGGGCAGAGGGAGAGAGAGAGAATTAAGCAGGTTCCATGCTCAGTGTGGAAGCTGATGTAGGTTTCGATTCTAACACCCTGGGATCATGACCTGAACCAAAATCGAGTCAGATGCTGAACCCAATGAGCCGCCCTAAGAATAAACATATTCAATGGTACTACCACCATAGCTCTGGTGTATTGTGGCATGGAATAAAAACATGCTGTATAGTATTATTATTTCCACAGCCACGGTACACTGCAGTATAGAAAAAACATGCTTTATGGTACCACCAACAGAACCCTGGTGCACTGCAATGTAGGATAAACATGCCATATGATACTGACTATCACTCTTGTGCACTGCAGCATAATGGTACTGACTGTCACCGAAGTCTTGGTGCACTCCAACATGCTGGGTGACTTACGTACAGGCTTGGTAAAGAATGCTGAGCAGTGCCGTCTTGGATGTACCACAGGGCTCCAATGTTCTCCAAGAAGCTCTCTAGTCTCTCATACAAAACACTGTCCAATACAGCCTTAGGGACAAACCAGTAGCCTAACTTCCCTCAAGAAAATAAGGCAGTGTAATTTCCCCTTTGTGTGAGAGATAAAAAAGCAAAAAGCAACCTAAGACAATTGTGTATTTGAGGCAAATGTTAAATCTGGGCGTAAGAGATACTGGTTTTACAAACAAAGATTACTTTGTAATTAAATTGATGGTACATAAAAGGCATTTCTGTGCCAGGAGGCAAAATTTTCCATAAATTTGTAAGACTCAGCCAAAATATAAGCTTGCCCAGGAAGGGTTTATTGAATCCCGGCCAGAAGCAACTACTCTTTCCCTTCTGAAATCCTCAAATTCCTTATCTACACTTATCTTCATTTTAACAGTCTCCTTATTTTTATTTTTTAAATGTTTATTTCTTTATTTCTGAGAAAGAGAGTGCAAATGGAGGAGGGGCAGAGAGAGAGGGAGACAGAGAATCCTAAGCAGGCTCTGGGCTGCCAGCACAGAGCCCAATGTAGTGCTTGAACCCAAGAACCACGAGATCACAACCTGAGCTGAAGTTGGACCCCAACAATGTCCTCATTTTTTTCTTAGTGTTTATTTTCGGGAGAGAGACAGGATGCAAGTGGCAGAGGAGTAGAGAGGAAGGGAGACACAGAATCTGAAGCAGCTCCAGGCTCTGAGCCTGACACAGGGCTCGATCTCACGGACCATGAGATCATGACCTGAGCCAAAAGTTGGACACTTAACCGACTGAGCCACCCAGATGCCCCGTCCTCATTTTAAAATAGAGATAGTCATCCTCAAGAACACTACAAATATTGACAGAGATAACACAGAAAGGGCCTGGTCCATCACACATGAAATAACAGCAGCCACTGTCATCATGGTCACTGTCACTGTTACTAACCTTCCAAGTCAAATCAAATCTATTATCATACTTGACCTATAATAACCCTATGAAATAGGTAAGGAAGATATTAATCTCCCTTTTTGGCAGATAAGAAAACTGAAAAAGTTACTTGCTCACATGACTTTCTTAAGGTCAGAGAGAATTACTGATAGGTCTAATCCGAGAAATGGAGTGTTACTACAAGTCATGGATCAAAATTTCTCTCAGGTAAATGCTGGTTAAAGATAGGAAATTTTGAGTGATACTTTTTTCCTACTTTATTATGTTAAGACATAAGACTTATTTAAAATATAAAGAAAACACAACCAGGTGAGAAATGGATGATCTTGCTTTGGCAGGACGTGGTCAGAGCGCCAACACTGATTACTGCACTGTAAAAGCAGAGCATGACTTGTCATACTACGAAATACTGAAGGGTGAGTACAACAAAGATCAAATGGAGAGCAC